CCGGCAACGGGCCGGCACCCGTTGCTGATTCCGGGCCGACAGTAGCTCCCATTTCCGTTCCAACAATGGTTGAAACAAATTATCCGACAACGGGCCGGCACCGGGTTCCAATTTCGGGCCGACAATGGCTCCTAGCTTCGGTCAGGTTTTGGGTATTGGTTCCGAGCCGAGAGTGGCTTCCAGCGATGGCCTGATGATGGCCCCGTAGTATTCGCCGGTACCGGATAGGCATCCCCCTATAAAAATGATTCTTGACTTTCTATTGAAACCGTGTAGACTTATTGTTGACTGTGATTACTCTCTTTTGACTTGGACTTCCTGTTGACATGGTCAACCGAAAGTCTGTTGACTTTATGTGGAAAATTTTCTGATGATTTTCTGCAATCCGAGTCAAAAGAAAAGCTGTTGACTTTCTATTAACTTCGCGTCGATTTTTTTCTTCTAACTCCCTGTTGACAGTGTCATCAGAAAGAGTACAGAAGTTCTGTTCACTTCGTGTTGAAAACGTTCAGTGAACTTTCTGTAGCAGTCTCAATTGAAGAGCTATATACTTTCTGTTGACTTTTTTTTTTTTTTATCGTACTATATATTTGATTACATGTCAAAAATTTTACACGAAGGTTGACTTTTTTAACGTACTATATATTTGAGTACATGTCAAAGGTTTACACGAAGTTCCTCCGTACTCCGTGACAAGGTGAGAACGGCAGGGAGAAGCTTCAATTGACCGCCCCCCATTGCGAGCCTCCTATCCTTGACAATACTTCGGCGTGTCGCGCACGTCGAGCACGCGCGCCCTGTCAAAGCACGGCAGAAGGCATGAAGCGCGTGCTGTAGGCCAGGCGTTCGAAATACACGACCTGCCGTTCTCACTCTGTTAGTGACTACAGTGACTTTATTGACCCTAATAAACTATCCAATCAGTAAATAAAATCAAAAGAACTATTTTAATGTGGAGAAACTAACTGCCTTGACTGCCTCATCCTTAGTGGTGCCATGCAGAGAAGCAACATACCTTATAGGCGCCGCCTTTTGTGAAGCTTGTTTTAGCGACTGTGCCGAATAATTATTGTTTGTAGCAATGCTTTTTCTTAAAGTCCACGAACTTCGGAACACTGTTTTTTTTTCTTTTGGCAAACTTCCGAGACGGAGATAGGATACTCGGTACCTTTAAATATCCTGCGATGGACACCGGCCGAATGATTACCTTTCAAATGCAGGGTATATAAGGCTGTGGAGCAGTCAGCAAGACCGTGATGCAGGAATTGCGAGTGCTTCATGGTGTTTGTGTACGCTACATTTTCTGGCGCACCGTCAAGATGGCGGCGGTCAGTGCATGGTTTATGCACAAACGAATAGCTCAGCAACGAGGCCAGGGCTCTATGCTGTTGAGAGAGTTTCTCGCCGAACTAGCAATCAGCTTGGCCCTGTATCTGAAGCGTCCAGCTGGAAGGCCGTCCGAAGAGAAGCTCCCGCCAGCCAAAAAGCAGACGTGCATGGCAATTCCTCGGGACGTAAGAACCGATGGGATCGAGCACTGGCCCATAGGGAAGGACCGGCGCAACCGCTGCAAGGCCTGTTGCATTAACAAGAATCGCAACTTTTTTGTACAGTTTCACAACTAACAAGACAGCTTCTTGTGTTGCTGCATTGTATTTGGCGAGTCATGCCTTATTTCTTTGTGATAATAAAGTTGTCGAATAACTTTATTTCTGTCGCTCACTGTACAAGCGACTGCCCACCGTTGCAGATATGCAACATCGTAGAACTCTTACGGCGTGTAATATTTCTACATCGTCACTTACTAGAATTTTTCCTGCGTGTCCTATGAGCCCCACAAGAAAAGCAAGTTGGATTCTGACTGCATGTTCTTACAGTGGAAAATCTTAGGTTAAGCGAAAAACATTATATTAACAAAATAAACAAGCACTCGTTCTTTCAACAAAAAATATCTGACTGAACTCACCTCTCCTGCTTGCCACCATGCCCTCTTCTGCGACCAAATTTGCTCTCCTTGTTACAATATCTTTATAGTATGCATTAAATATTTGGCCGACCTATATTTATGCTTCAGGCTAAAACTTTATATATGCATCTCAGCGATTTCGGCCGGGAACTTGACACAAGGTCACTCCGCCTTTTAAAACAGCTGTGTATTGTATAACGTGTTAGACCCTTATACGTTGCGTTTTTTTTTTTTTTTTCTTGAAATATTATGAAATTTTCACAAACTCACAAAAATTATGGAATCCTCACTAACGTACATTTTTCAGTGAATATAATTAAGTTACAGCACTTAAAAAAAAGACACGAATGCGACGTGCTGCAAATGGGAACTCACCTAGTAAGCTGTGCTTCACGCGGATGCCCGCAAAGAAAGCACCATCGCGCAAGGCATTCCTCGTATCCAAATGCGTCGCGTTAGAAAGGCCCCACGCGAACAGTTAGTGAGAAGGCACGAACCCCAACCTGAACCGGCAGATAAGATACCAGTTTGTTAAGCCGGGCTGCATCTTTTGTTGTACGACTGTTAAAAAGAAAGGGGGGAGGGGGATTTTTAATTAGGACACACGCATCAATGCAAACATCAATAAATGGATCATTTCCGTGTACTCCCAAATTATGGGAACTTATTTGCATGGTCTTGTTCATTGCCGGTCGTCACTTTACCGAATTCAACAGGCCTCAGAACGCGAACAGATTGGTGCCGTGGTAGCAGTGCACCCAGTGTTCTAAGACTTCGTGAAGCTATGTGTAACATGGCTTCACGAAGAGACGCGGAACAAAATTTTATTTCGCATAACTTTTTAAGACCTTGGCTGTTTTACATACACAAAGCATCGTTATCGACAGCACGGATCTCAACTTGTTGCTCCACATAAGCCTATAATCCCTCGGCGTGCTTCATTCATTGCCTCTTGCTCGTCATCTTATGACCTTCGCGACTGTTATTTTAATACTATATAAACAACCGGCGCTGTAAGTATAACAATAAGTATAGCCTTTTTATAGATTGAATAAGCGTAGAAATGTGTAAAAATGCCCGAGTGCACATTTTAAAAAAAAGCGGACAGTTGTCGTGCTTTGTGGAATCTATTCAGCGAATGACAAGGCCCAGATACCTTTCCGATCGAAAATATATTTATGTGGTGCGGCAGTGAGCCAACTCTTTATTTATTCTTTGTTCCGGTGCAGAACACCATTCTTGAGGACCTCGTCCGTTCATTTTGACTATGGACTTTCCGCCTGCAGCATGATCGAAGAGCTGAGAAGGGACGAAGGCGTTTGCTAAGGATTCTTGCATCATCCTATCATTCCTATGTAACGAGCATCAATCGTGGGTAGCTATTCACCTATTTTCCCACCAGCCACTGCCGGCTGACTCCTACAGTGCACCGCACTGCGTATTAGGTGGGCCTGCGGAATTATACTTTCCCAAGGAGAAAGCACAGAGAAAAATCAAGACTTACGAAGTCTACAGAACACTGTTCCTTCCCGTCACCAGTCGCTCGGCACTTTTTAGGTCGCTATTACTGGCTCTGCTGCATACGATACTGGGAAAGCTACCGCGCAGCCGTTGGTCATGACTGATATGCAACGCCATAGTCTCCGCGAGTTGCAGGACTTTCCGGGCGTCATTCGCGCGTGGTAACAAATGCAACGAGTATAGACCAACCCCACTCACTGACGTCACGCCACTGCGGTGGCGCTGCTGTCGGTACTGGGCATGCGCAGACGCTTCCCTCCTCCCGAACTTGGTTTCAGCGCACGCGCAGTGCCGGGCTTGTTTAGAAACACATGTGTTGGTGTATATCCTGACATGCGCTGTGTGAAGCCCGTAAGCCCCGGCAAATCGTAATGGTATCTCGACATCATTCGTGTGTACGTCGCAGAATGCGGATAGAAACCGGGAGAGAGGAGGAGGCTCAAGGGGGACGCCAGAGCGCCGAGTTCTGGTAGGAATAATTAGTGGGGAGACGGAAAGCCAAAGCTGCCTTTGTCTCTATTCGATGTTCGAATGCGTTTGAACGCGAACGCCAGACGCCGGCATTCGGCGTTCCAATGCGTTCGAAGAGTAACTAGAGGCAAAGGCAGCTCGCTTTGGGTCTATATACACACTAATCATTCCAACCAGAACCCGGGTGTTCTGATGTCTGAGTGCTCTTGTGTTCTCCTCTCAAGTTTTTACCAGTATGCCGTTGTGAAATGCCGGTCGGTGACATAACAACTGGTGTTGTCGACTTTAAATAGCTGTTCTATTGTTTCTCGCGGAGCCCTCGGGGTCCAGTCAGTGCAAACAACGAGATCGGCAAATGCCGAGGCAAAAGCGTCTTGGAGGCGACGGAGGTGTCACATGAAACGGAGCATAATGCTTCCAATGCTCACGTGACGGTGCTCGGTTGCCCCATCACAGACCTTATTTTTAGGCCGAAACCCGTCATTCGTTTGATCCGTAGTGATCTCAAGTTGCTCGAAAAAAAGAGGTGCACTTGGAACATTCTTTGGAGCGCCGACTGCGCGACGGTGCAGGTTTTATGGAAGCGCGAGGCGGCACACAGCGGCATAATCGACTGAGAGACACCCTTTTGTTGTCTCAGAATGTGACTTGTCATGCGCGTTGGTTGCCATTACATGTAAAAAAGGTATCACGACTTGATAGCGATCGACTCTCCGAGCGCCCTGAAGCGAATTCTAACGCACGGGCATTTGTTTGAGCGCAGAATCCGAAGGTCGGTCTCCTTTAGTCGGTCTTACAAATACCTACTGTCCCGTAGCTAAAAATGGAATCTGCTATGTGAGGTTCAGTGAGAGCTTAGAAAATGCCGGCTTCTTATATTTCTCGGATTCGGCCATCAAATCGGCTAATGACGCAGTTTCCCTGGGATAGTGCTTCCAGTGAGATTTCTTAAGCTGTCAATCAGGCCGTATGTGACATGTTAACGTCATGCTCAGATCTTCAGTTCTACGTGACCTAGCCATTCAGCGAGTTCTCTTTAAGAATGGTTTTGTTCGCACTTCGAGTGTGGGAAGGCACTGAAAAGGTCGACATTTCGAGCGGCGGGCCTTTAGCAGGCGCTCCCGGCCGTTCGCTTTGGCCGCGCATGAGCTGACGAGACGCCGATGCGTTCTCGAAGGATTGGTGGAGGTGGCATCCCTGCCGTTCTCACTCTAGACAAGCGGGGAAGTGTGTTGGAGCCGCTGCTCAGTGTCCTCTGCCCGCAGGTGGGCGTGGGATGCAGCAGCTCCTGCTGCTGCTCCTCGTGGCGGCCTCGACGCGAGCCGGAGCCGCGGAGTTCTTGGAGCAGCGGGCACGCCCGGACGCGCTGCGCGCCCGGGGCTCGCGCGCCGACAACCCGAACATCATCACTTCCCAGGAGAAGGCTGAGGTGCGTGCCACGCGTTAGGACTGCTCTGAAGGCGCCCTTCTACTCATCAGGAAAAAAAATAGTGCGTAGTCTGTCTAACCCTACTGAACCGTGTATACGAAAAACGTCGGCTTAAATCACCTGACGCCAATGTAGAGAGAGCCAAGACTCAATCTAAGACAGTCCCTGGCGGATTTAGGAAAGAAGGACGAGGGGAAAAGGACGGGCAGAGGGTTCTAACACCGCACTGACTTTATGCATTCGTCTGCCAAAAGCACGAGAGGAAAACAATATTGGCAGCTGTACTTCGATGTTTCGATAAAATCGAACGGTGGGTTTACATGACATTTTTTTAACTGACAAACTCCGATTAATCTCGTGACGCTACGTGTCGTCGCGGTGTGTAGTTGTGGTGTATAATGACGTCACGTCACGCGGCACTATTGAGTGGCATTGCGGCACCACATGACTTGAGGTCACGCTACGTGGTCGCGTGACGTCACGGCGCCAAGTCGAGATGTCACGAGGCATGTCACGTGAAGTCACGTAACCTTACGTTACGCGACGTGAACACGTGACGTCACGACTTGGAGCCGTGAATCACGTGACGTGTCGTGCACGCCACGGACGGACGCGAAATCCGAGTTCCGTTAGAATGCAATTTTGCATTCATACGTACCTGTATTTTCTCTGATAATACGAGGGTATGAGATTCTGATAAACAAGTTCCGTCCGTTGACTTTGGCGCAGATGATGCGGAAGCCGGACCACTATAGGTCCGTAGCTCTCAAGTTTTGAGCAGTGCTCCAGGCGAACAAACTGAAATATTTGTAGGTCGCGTTTCGAACATGCGTCATTACGCTCCCCCACAATACAGCGTTCAATACTCCGTTTCGTTATGATCGAGTTCCACTAAAGCGACAGACAGAAAAAAAAAGCGGCAACGTCGAGCTTCACGCACGTGCAGCATGCATGCTAAGGTACCTTTGACAGGCTTGCAGTCTCTCGGTCTTCGTGAAGTAAGCACGAGCGATTGCAAACCTGCCAAAGATACCTTCGCCTGCTTTCTGCCTGTGTTTGCTGCTTGACGGTGTCGGTTGTTTCTGTTTGTCGCTCTAGTGGGACTCGGTCATTATAAGTGCAAGCGTAGCAGAGGCTACAAAAGCGAGTTGCGAGCTTTCTGTGCCCCTGTCGAGCACGCGCGTTCGTGCAGTGCAGATCAGGACAACAGGCGTTCTTTGCTTGTAGCTTTGGCTTCGAAAGAAAAACATACTTTCTCACGCGTGCTAATATGTTATAAGAAAAAATACAAAGAATAAAGCTGAAAGGAATGTAGCTCTGGTTGGAATGATTAGTAGGTAGACCTACAGCCTAGCAGCTTTTGTCTTTCTCCACTGTGTACTTGTCCGACGCGTTCGAACGCCAAAGCCAATCGCCGGACGCAGGTGTTCTCCGTTCTAACGCGTTCGACGAGTGCAGTGGGGACAAAGGCAGCTTCAGGTCCACCCAGTAATCATTCCAACCGAAGCTCGCTGTTCTGACGTCCACTCGCGTCTTCTCTCTCTCGGTTTCTCGGCGTCTATGACAAAATGAGAACGGCAGGAAGGAGTTTTAGTTGCCCCAGCGCGAACTTCCTGCCTTCTCTTCGGCGTCGGGAGCATCGAGGGTGCACGCGCAGCCAAAGCACGGCCATAGCCTCCTGTATACTCGAAAAGCCTGGCAGTTCGACGACGGAGCCATACCGCTCATTCACACTGAAAGCGGATCCGCGTTTGCAAGGCGGTTGCGAACGCGGCTGTATAAAGATCCAATAAAATTGCACGCGCACTTGATGTCATCGAGTGCGCGTGCAATTGTACTGGATCTTTATACAACCGCGTTCGCAACCGCTTTGCGAACGCGGATCCGCTTTCAGCGTGAATGAGCGGATAGAGTGCCCGGTCGCAGATTTGGAGCGCGAGGATCTGGCACCACAGAGCATCAAAGAGCCATTTCTTGGGGAACCTGGACGTCAGCGCACAGCTTTTGCAGCGGCGAGGACCCGAAACGTACTTGTTCGCTCGGGAGAAGTCTGTTTCGGCGTCTCGCCGCAGCGGGGAGCCAGTCACGTGGCTGTCCTCTCATCCGTTGTTTGCCGCTCCACCTTTTCCATTTCGGCGGGCGCTTCTCGTGGCGATCTGCCAGGCTTTGTTAGTATATAGGATAAGAGGCTAACCCACGGCGGCCGGCAGCGAGCGCGTACTGGAATCGGGGTGTTAGAAAGAGTATCCTGGATCCCTAATTCTTTGAATTAGGGATTCAGGATTCCCAGACTCTATTATTTCATCAGCATGCGATAGTTTAATAAAAATCGTAAAGATTAGTTTCAATTTCATGTTGGAAGAACCAGTTAGAACATAAAAAAAGAAAGTTCCAATTATTTCTTATCTTCATCGTATTTCACACAGACTTAAAGGGACCATGAAATGATTTTAAAATCGAGTTTCATCCACCGCACGTCGTAAAAGGTGTGAAAAGAAACACAAAAACACAAAAATAGGGAGCCAAAAAAAATTATTTGCTATAGAACCTTTAAAAGAAAACTGGACTCTTTTGCGCCTTCCTTCCTTCGCCTGTTCACTACGATGCATCCGCGGAAATGGAGCACGTCAGCCAAATCCAGGTCGCCTATTGGGTAAGAGCCTACCTCACCAGCACCGCGATCGTAAACAATAAATAGCCGGCGAATGTTTCCTAAAAGTTTTGTTAAATAATATTCAGATCCACATTTTGTAGCATAATTAGAGATGTGTGGCGAAAATTGCCAAATTTGATAATGCTGAGAGCCAGGCGCCATCTATCGTGTGGTAAACGAAGCAACTACTGCGCGTGCGCAGTAGGGCAGGGCCGACAGTTACTTGGGTGGCGGCCAGCGACGAACGTTTATTTTCTTTGTTTTCCTTCGTCTCAAAACTCTGACTGACTGAACGTTTATTTTTCTACGTGTTCTTCCCGCGCGTGCCGACTTCAAGCAGCAAGAAAACAGTACTTAAAACAGACCACGACGAACAAGAACGCTGGATCCACCGACTCCGACGAAGCGTATAGGCCTAGCAGGCATTCCGACTCGGCGCTGCGTTGCTTCGTCACAAGACCGTCTGCCTACGATCGGCTGGCGTGCTAAATGGAATATGCCCGCGCGACCCTTGTGGACCCTTCCCGTATTATAGTTTGATCACTGACCTCAATTCTAGATTAAGAGGTGAGGTCAATCTCTTCCCCTTGTTTTCCGAGGCAGTGTTGACGAACACTCGTCGAAAAGGGACTCTCGTCGATTCTATCTTCTTGTTTTGTGTGATATAGAGCTGAAATAAACGCCGTATGGATTACCTTCGTAACACGGTATGTACACTTTGTTATTGGTATGCCATTTTTATTCTGACAGACTGCACGTCACTGTCGAGCTATAACAGTTCGTGGGAGGTATACGTACAACCCCGGTCCAACCTTTCTTTGCCGAGTGTCGCGTCAGTATCGAGTTGCAATCGTAAAAGAACGGTCCCGAAGCGCTTCCAAACAGCGCGAATACAAGACTTCCATCAAGCGCGCGCGTCCGCTCCGAGTGTAAACAGGTATTTACGTGGCTCTTGCTGACACTCGTAGTTCAAACGTATCTTTTTTAACGTCGGCTCGCTCCTGCATCTCCGAGGCCGCGAAAAACGCCATCTACGTCGCTTTGCAAACGACTGACACGGGCCGGCCCTTCTGCCAACAATGACGGGGTGGTTGACTTCTGGAGTCTTCACCGGAAGACTCGCTGCACTTCCCAACAGGCATACCGGCGTATGGGACTAGTCCCATGCTGTCGCTGTAGCGCAACATATCTCATTGAATTTCGCTCAGCTGCGATGCGGCGATGAGAGGCGCCGATTCAGGAAATACGTCGGTGACATCAGCGCAGTAAAACCTACCGGCGCACACCAACTCGTTGCCGCTAACACTCCCATTCTCCTACTGCCGAGAGAACTTCCGGTTCCGGAAACGGCCTACGTCACGGCTTCTTTTGCGGTCAGTTGGAGAGAATGAAAAAGTCGATATTTCAATAATTTTTTGTGTAGAAGTTAATAAACCGAGACGAAAACGGATGCCTGTTCGGCATTCAGTGAACATTGACGGTTTAATGTAAAAGTTATCTGGAAAAAGTAAAAAGGTCATTTCATGGTCCCTTTAAAAAAGTCGCGTCCAGATATGAGGTAAATGTTGTTTTCTCAGCCAAAAAACAAACCAAGCAGATTATGCTCCGCTGTACGTGTACGCAGGGACGGAAAAACAAAATCAGAGTATATCATGTATAAGGTAATGCACGGGGAAAATATGGTCTCGTGCGTAAAAGGCGTAGTTTGTTGCATATTATTGTCTTGTAGGCGTTCTTATGTCAGGCAGACTGGCTGGTGCTTAAACATCCGCCTCAGAGAGCACCTCAGCTCCTTCAAAGGCACCGCGTTTTCACGTCTATCGGTATTTGCCGACTCTGCGGGTGCGAACCACACTTAGAAGACACCATTATATTATATCGAAACCACGACCAAACATGTCGAGAGATGATTGAAACGTACAACATCACGAAGAACAACAGTTCGTGTGTGAGCCAACCTTCGGTGACTCTGACCCCCAGCGAGGTGAACTTTCTGAATTTAAGGTAACAAGAGCTCCTTAGGAAAGAAAGAAGAAAGCTAGTACTACAATCAGATGAAAAAAAGAAGGTGACATATTCCACGAGGCGTCCAGCAAGCGCGAAAACATATGACTGCATGTTTTTCATTTCATTGCCTTTCTTCCTTATGCTCTATTAACAAACCAGCTGATAGTCAGCGCTTGTCTTGTGTCTCTTCGTCTTTTCTCCTTCTCCCAGTCGCGCTGTTTTTCAACATGAGCTCTTACCAACTTGCCCAGTTATCTATCCTTAGCGAGTCTTCAAACCTTTCAGCCCGAGGTAACATCTTTTCCATTTCCTGTAGAAAGGAAACGAGCTGATGTGAGTT